GGACACCTACACTGTTGCAGTGGGGTGGTGGCCCAGTGTTCACCCCGGGCACGGCCGGGGCCACTGCTGGTATGGCTGGGGGATGAAGGCCCTTGGCCCACATCCCATCATGATCTTGGATGCTCACCCCAGTTAGGGCAGGCAGGAGTGGCCCAGTGTTCACTCCGGACACGGTCGGGGCCACTGGTGGTATGGCTGAAGGATGAAGGCCCTTGGCCCACATCCCATCATGATCTTGGATGCTCACCCCAGTTAGGGCAGGCAGGATGGTGGTCATGGGTGCAGCGCTCAGCGGCAGGAGAGCAGGACGATGCACACCCCCATGCCGGACACCTTGGGAGCCGCTCACAAGTGGGGCCTGTGAGAGGACAGGGCTCTGAGTGAGCAGGGACCCTGCTCGCCTCCTTCCTCTCCGGGTTCGGGCAGGGATGTTGAAAGGTCCAGCTCCAGTCAGGCCATAGCCACTGTGTCCTGCCACCACAGGTGTCATGGGGAAATGGGACACCACCAGGGGTTTACCCTGAGGATGTGGTGCATTCCCAGAGGGTGGAAATGGCTCCCAGTGTAGCTGTTGTACTGGGACCGGGGCAGGTGGGAGAGGGCACAGGACCGAAGAAGGAGATAGGATGACCCCGTCCTTCTGGGTCGTATGTGGCTGCAGCAGGGACGATGCTGTGGAGAGAAAAGGAGTGAAGGAATGTAGGAGGTGAGACAGCAGGATGGAGGCTCTGTTCTTCCCCAGTCACTGGGAATCAGAAGACAAAACTCACCCCTTCAGGGTTGTGTGGACAGGAATATTTTGCAGTTAGCAGACACCCCTGAGTAAATTTTCATGCTCTCTTCCTCCCATTCAGAATTCCTCCTGCAAGGAACTTTCTTCTAGGTAACTAAAATTCTCAACCCTTGCTTGTCCAAAGCAACCCCTCAGCTTCCTCTCCCTCTAAGGGATACTTCCTTTTTCTCATGCTCCTTCTAAACCTCTTTCTTCCCTTGCAAGGACAATATAACACAGGCCCCCAATGAAATCTTCCCCACACTAGCACTTGAAGATGACCCCACGCGGGATCCTATCCACCTCCCACAACAAACACTAATGCGGGGACTAATCCTGCCCAGTCCTGTGCCCAGTATTCAGTGGTCCCTGCCGTGACACTGGAGGCTCTGTTCCCATGAGACAGGTCTGGAAGATGGACACTGGGCTCCCTGAGTACTTGTCCTTGCAGAAACAGCCAGGAGTTTCTGCAGAGGACCAGAAAGAGCCAGGTAAGGGTGATAGTGGAGCTGTCCCAGGAGTTTTCAAGGAATTGTCACAGCTCCTGGTTGTCAGGTTTCATTGTGGAACTGTATCCTATCTGTGGAGCTTTTCCTTTGGGGTCCTAAAAATGGCAATGAAAGAGACTTGCGGGTCGGTCCTCTGTGAGCCAGGTACCATGTGAGACAAAGTCAACTGGAGCCCATCTGAGAAGTCTGCACCCAGTAACCAGAACACCTGTCCTAACTTCCTACTAACATAACAGCAAAGCATCTTCCTGTGAGCTACTCATCATCCTCTCTTAACATGGAAACTAGCTTTCACTGCTACAGAAAACCAACAGCACTCCCCTTGTGCCCCTGGTGCATGAAGCACCAGACAAGGAACACGGGCATTGTTCCTGACAACTGTGAAATGAAGGGCTGAGGGGCCACACTGACAGTGGTCAGGACTAAGAAGCCCTGAAGACCTGTTTTGATGAAAAAGATGACATTTCAGAACAACTCAGGGAGGCCCAAGCTACCCTGGGATGAAAAACAGCTGCAACTTGGACTGAGGGTAAAGCCCTCTGTGAGTGAGATGGCGCTTGGGGTCTCTGGAAGTGACAGTTGAGTAACCCTTATCCTTGTTCACACAGAGGATATTTCACTGCACACTGGGTCACGGAGTTTTCTGAGTAGTTTTCTGTCTAAGATCATTCTCTCCACTGCCCTCCTAAGATCCGGGAAACTCCAATCAAACCCCTCAGAGCAGTGAGACATACAAGTCCCAGGTTCCCGAAGAAAGGACACAGGACTCAGAGTTCCCCTTGAAAATGTCCTGTCTCCTCCGTGACACCATTGGATAGCAACCCTGTTAAAGTCACATCTCTCCCTTTCTGGAGAGGATCAATGTATGTCCTCCCATTCTTTCCCCGACCCAGTATATTTTCCACATGGTATCTTGAAATCCATCTAAGGAGTCCCAGTCCCGTCAACAGTCTCAGACTGACACGAACTTTCCCTGCCTCCCAGTGGGTATGGTGTTGGTCAAGTCCAGTACACTCTTTTCTTTACATCAGCTCAACCACTTGTACCCAGGGAAGTGACAGATTCAAATTCCTAACAGTTTAAGGAGTTAGAGCAGTTATCCCTGACCCTCCAGGCTTACCTCCTTCTAGCTCCATCCCCACAGGCATGGACACTGACATCAACTCTCTAGCTGCTAGCAGCGTGGGAAGAGTGAAGACCTGTGACCAGAGGCTCACTCCGGTCCAACTGCAGAGGGTGAGGTTTGAAAGTAAACAGGTCTGGAGGGCTATGCCCAGACATTCTGTAGCGGGGGAGGGGCAGAGGCAGGGCTGGGGGGGGCATTCCAGGAAGAGCTTTGGTGGGCAGAGGAGACCCTCACGATCCCTTCAAACAATTTGGTGAAAACATCACTGCTGTGTGACTCTACCCAACTTTTGAATTATTTCTTACCACTGCCAGCACTGTGGTTGTATTGGTCTCCTGACTTGAATGTCTCATCAGTAAAACTTGTTTTGAAATAGGCTCTTGACTAATTTAAAAACTCACTGTACTTTCTCAACAAAATTCAGACCATATAGTTAGGTAAATATGGGGCAGGTTAGAGAGAAGATGAATAATTTGAATTGAGATTGTGAGGGAGGATCCAGTGCCTGACATACGCGCGTCACTCCTGAGGAAGCAGTTCTTGTGTCTTCTTCAAGTGTCCAAAGCTGGGATCTGTGCCTCATCCAGGACAATACTCTTGTGCTGTCCTTTGCTAGAAAGCCCTACCAAGCAGCCACACTAACGTAGCCTACAGACCCAGCACAGAAATCCCTTCTTTTTGGTTGTCAGTGTTTTGTTCTTTGTGGCTTTCTTTCCTTGTCACCTCAACTGATTATCTTGACTTTAAAAATAGGATTTCAGTAAGTTTTTTGTGGAAGAGTAATGAAAAAATTCCATGGTGGAAACATTATTGTCTTTTCTGCAGTCCTAGACCCCAGATGCAAGAATCATCAAATCAGGCCAAACATTGTTTGTGACTTCTGTCCATATTAGTCACCTTTTCATTGCTGGGACAAAGTACACAGCAGAATATAAGGAGAAAAGGTTTCTTTTGGCTCACGGTTTCAGAAGTTTCTGCCTGTGTGTGGCTGGCTCCAAGAGAGAAACAAGGCAGAGGGCATGGAGGGAGGGAAAAGCTGCTCAACTGGTGACATCCAGGAAGAACGGAGCTGGAGAAGCCCGGGGGGAAGGGCCAGGGACCCAGTGCACCAGCTTCAGGACGGGGACATCCAGGACTTTTCCATCCAGTACTGGAACATTAGAGGAGTGGGGAGGTGCCTTGTGTGTGTCCTCAGGGCCCATGCCCTGGGAGGATCTTGGCAGTCCTGGGTTATTGGGCTGTTATTAATCCTGCAGATTATGAGAAAGAGGACCTGATGATAGGGTTTTGAGACTTGCAAATTCAATTTAGCGTGTTGATTCTATTGTTTTTTAATCAGCAATTGAAATTCTTCAACATATGTCAAAGAGGAGAAAGTAAAATCATTCCCATTGTATCTGCAATGTTGGCTGAAATTGACCCTGATTGTCAATTTTTTTGATTAAAGGTTTAATACAGCTTTGCAAAACAAATTTTGTTTTTGTGACAACATTTACTGGGAGAACTGTGTGCGCATGAAATAAGTATACTAAAGATTGGTAAATGTAGGTGAACGTCTAGAAACGCAGTCAGGACAAACCACGTCTCAGAATGCTTCTGAGCTCTGAAATTCCTTGCCAGACCTGTTTTTTAATGGAACCTTCCAGTGGACTAGGAGAAAATGACATAGTTCATGGCAGACAGAAGACAGAAAGTAACAAATTACTAGCAACAACAGCAGCTTCTTTCTGCCCCTTTTATACTCTATCTAGGCTACCCAGGTCAGGGCAGGTGCCAAACCAATCAGTGAACAAGTTTAGCAATCACACATCCTTAATCCCAGCGTCACACATTCTAGATCCAGTCACCTCTGAAAAATCCCCATCTATGACGACACTGGGCTTTGGGGTAACATCTAGAAACAAGTTATAGCAAAACCAATCAGAACAAGTTTAGCAATCACACATCCTTAATCCCAGCGTCACACATTCTAGATCCAGTCACCTCTGAAAAATCCCCATCTATGACGACACTGGGCTTTGGGGTAACATCTAGAAACAAGTTATAGCACCATCTTTAGTTCATATAATGGCCAACCCATCATTTGAGCCAGTTGCTAGAAGAGGACCTTCACTATCCCAATCTAGTTAGGTTACATCCGTATTGCTTGGAACATCTTCTTCTCCTCATACACAGTGTCTAAGTACTAATGCTATTTTCACTAAAGCTTTTTTCACTGAGATTCCATAGTCTTGCTGCTGAGTCTCCAGACTACGATGCCAAGGGATCACTAAGGGGGTTCACCGGCACACATGATAACTTCAGATTCGTGGCTCCATTACACAGCTGCTCTATCAGGAGGGATTTCGACGCCCTCGAGCACTTACATCATACCAGTATGATTATGTGCTATAGTAAGTGCTCCAATCTCTTCCCTATTTGCTGTATTTTCCCCATTTTGGGGGGTTGCTTACAGCTGCAAACATTTCTTACAGGCATGTTGTCTACCTTGTACTACACCAGGCATTATGGCATCTGTCAAGGACAGAGATTCAGTGGGTGGACCCTCAAACAAGGTGCCCCCTTCATCAGTACTACTTTCTGCCTCTACATATTGTAGGCCTTGCTGGATGATAGAGATCTAGGAATCAGGACAGAGCTCCATTTGTGGAGGACAAGAGCCCCACTTATATAAGATTGGCTTATAGCACTTGCTATACCAAAACAAAAAGCTGAAAGAGAAAATCCTGATGCGTGCAGGTGTCTCTACCAAGAAGTCCGCCCATCATTGCTTATATTGGTCTCCATTCTCACTGGCACAGGATGCAACCCACTGAGGGTAACTTGGTGTGGAACAGAACATCAGGCTTAGCCAGTCACAAGCTGCTCCTGCTGGAAACAGTGATCTCCTCATTCCCAAAAAATGTAGGCACAAAGAAATTCCCCTCCTCCCTGTCTCCTCCAACCACCCCCACAACAACCTCAGAGAAGGCAGGGGAGATTATAACCTGGACCTGAAAGGGGAGGACAGGGAATTGAGGTGGAAGGTCAAAGCTGCTGCTAAAGGAAAAAGTAGCCAGTGCGAATAAGCCAAGCACAAACTAGCTCATCAAGCCTGCAAGGCAAGACACTAAGTTGGGTTCACTTTTGCAAAGAAGGAAAATTCATCCTGCAGACGATGAATCCACGACCCTCAGGAAGTATTCAGCATAGAAGATTCAGGACCCAACCAGTGTACCCTGAGATGCCTTCTCATGGTGCCCTTGCATCCCAGACCCCACCCACGGCCCCACTGTTCCCTCATGACAGAACAGCACACATGGGTCTGAGAACTGCTCTGCCTACCACTCTCAGACCCACAGAGTGGGCTTTGGGCCCAGAAGCAGGGTTCAGAAGAGGGTCCCAAGAAAGGGAGTGGACAAAAATTCCCTATAAATATTGTTGAGGGTAAAACTTTATTTACTGTTGTGTACATGTGAATCATACTAATCTCTTATTGACTCTACAGGCGCTCCTGAACTTACAGTGAGGTTACATGCAATAAGCCTTTCATGAATCGAACATTCTGCAAGTTAAAAATGCATTAATACACTTACCTTAGTGACTATTGCAGTGTAGCCCCACTCAGCACACTGTACAGGATGGGCCATTTCCCCTGGTGATGGGATTTCATGTACTCCTTCTCTCTCCAGTGTGAACAGGATCTACTTTTTTTTGATCTCTCATTGTCACAGTAGATATTGTAAAATAATGCCGGCCAACAACATGGTCACTATATGCAATTTAGAAAAAGGATATTCCTATAATACAATGCCCATCTCTAAGAGACACATGATTTTTCTAAAAATCATTTTCTTAATGTTTCATTGTGCATATTTTCTCATGTGACTTGTGTTTTTAAAAGGCTATCTTGCTTGGGTATTGTTGCTATTGTTGTTTGGGGGATGTTGTTCTTTCCTGAGGTAAACATGCTGGTCAGACTCTTTGGGGGGGTTGTTTTTTTGTTTTTGTTGTTGTTGTTTTGAGACAGGGTCTCACTGTGTAGTTGAGACTGACTATGGAACTCACTATGTAGCCCAGGCTGGTCTTGAATTCACAGTGGTCCTCCTGCCTCAGCCTCCTGAGAGCTGGGATTAATTACAGGCATGCACCACCATGCCCGGTTCAGACTCTTGTGATAGTACTGCTGTGCTTTGTTTTCTACCATTTTGTTTTTGTTTTGCTTTGGCTTTTTATTCATTAAGTTTATTGGTTCATTTTAGGTATACATTATGATCACATTCATTGGAATTTGTACCTACCTGTACATGGTCTACCGTTTTATTTTGAAGGACAGCATGTTATACTACCCTAAAATATGCTACTCTGATGTAAAGATTACTTCATGCTAGACAGACTTGTAAACATCAGATGCAAGAATGTCATTCTAAGCTCCACTTTTCTTCTTGAAAACAAGAGATTCGAATTCCAGGTGGAAAATGCCTTATTATACCAGCAGGAGAGAGATAAATGGAGAGCCAAGAGAACTCTGTGCAAACAGACCTTGTCAAAATAATTATCCTCTTTTAGCCTCCTCACATACTTGGCTCTTCCACGGGCACCTCTCTCTGTTCCATCTAATACAAAAGCATGTAGGTTTTGCTACTCCTTTGGGTCTTCATTTCCTCATGGGAGTTTTCAGGCCATAAAACCTACATCAAACTGGTATGCCTTTCTCACATTAGTCTGTCACGTCAAGTTGATCCTCGGGTCTAGCTGGGACCCTAAGAGGGGATAGGCCAAGTTTTGACTTCTCTACAATTTACATTCCACAGCTGTATTCCCAAGATATGTGTATGTTTAGTTCCCTTGGCAGAGCAAAAAGAAACGCTTCCTGTCCTCAGGCTATTTCCCCATCAGAGGAGACTCATTCTCTTTCAGTCTCATTTAATGCTTGAAGCTCATCCCATAATGTGTTGGTGTTTTGTTTTGTTTTGCTTTGGGGACTGGGGATCAAACCCAGGAGCACTCTATCACCCAGCGGCATCCCCAGTCTCTTCTATCTATTTATTTATCTATTATTTTGAGGCACCGTTTTTCACAGTTGCCCAGGCTGCCTTCACACGTGCAATCCTGCCTTGGCCTCCTGTGTAGCTGCGATTACAGACATGTGCCATTGTGCTCAGCTTGTTTTGTAATCTTACAAAAAAGTATTTGTTATGTGAATTACTCTTTCTAGTCACAGTAGGTTTGATTTTAAGAGGATTAAACAAGGAATTAAGAAACTGTTGACTCAAGACTTACTGCTCACACATTCCTACTGGGAACTATAATGAAATAT